ACTAGTTATTTTAATTAAGCGCATATAAAATAAATTATAATATGAGCATTTACTTATTATTACATATAAGAATTAAGAGTAGGGTGAATGTCGATCATTTTTACTAGTAATTATGTTACTAATTTTTTTACAATAATATTCAATTGAAATCAGGTGATGATCATATGATATTTATGTTGTATAACTTAGGCAAATTTCGATCAACTTAGGAAGAATTAATGATATATGCAAGTATGTTTTCTTTAAATAATACAGGGGTTCAAATTATTATAATTAGAATTAGAGGGTCTAATATATCTACCCCAAAACTTTTATGAAAATTGATTATATTTTTAAAAACTTTTATATGTAACATGTGTTCGATTTTTGTGTAATATTTTTTTGGTTGATCTATTTATATTAAAAATAATCTATGTTCACCCTACTCTTAATGCACAACTATTATTCAGTACTATTTTTTATTTAATTCTTGAATAGCATGTGGGAGTTTATTGTATTTACCAGTATTTTTGCAAAATAATACATAGGAGTGTAATTTCAAATTTTGGTTCAAATTAAACCTTTAGTTCAGATCAAAATTTTAAATAATGCTCCTGCACATTATTATTTTTTTTAATACCATATGGCTGATTTATATTCTCAAAACATAATTAGTATTTTGTTTTGCACATTATACTGTACTCAAAGATATTGTTCAATTTAAAAATAGATTCTTCTGAGTGCTGTATACAGTGGTTAGTGTTCATAGGCAGACATTTATATGATTGGCTATTTAAATCAATTTAATTTTACATTATTTATACAGTTTAAAGTACTTTTCAAAAAAAAGAAAATTACGAAGAACAAACAAAAAAAAAGGATATAGAAAGTTTTATTAGCATTGTAGGACTCCACTATTAAAAATAATCAAAATTCTTTTTTGTTTTAAAGAAGTTAGCATGGTGATAACCTAATTTTATAAAGTTACTATTGTGCTAACTTTTCTAAAACAAAAAAAAATTTTGATTATTTTTAATAGTGAAGTTATACAACACTAATAAAACTTTCTATATCCTTCTTTTTTGTTTATTCTTCATAATTTTCTTTTTTTGAAAAGTACTTTAAATTGTATAAATAATGTAAAATTAAATTGATTTAAACAGCCAATTATACGAATGTCTGCCTATGAGATTAGTGTATTAAATTATATACTTGCATCAGATCCTTTGGTAGATGTTCTTCAAGATTGATCAGTTTCCATAGAGGGTAGGTTTGTAAAAGATCTTCCAAGTTTTCTATACTTTGCTTTATTACATGAATCGATCTATGCATTGCCATCATAAATATTTACTAATGTAGCTTGCTTAATACTTCTTACAAAAACTTTGTTTTCATGATTTGATGCTGTTATTTCTTGTTTATTATACAAATATTTTATATAATTAGAAATTACAATTTATAAGGTTATCAAATGCATCATATAACTAGTTAAAATTGGGAGATTGTATCTATGAAGATGTGAGATAAGGAATGAGTGATTGACAGTGAATATTAAGCTCATTTGCACAAAACAGGAGTCAGGCTTTTTTATATGACTCAGGGTCTGCATGATCAAAAAATCCAAGAAATAATTGAGGTATATGAAAATTTCAATCATGTAGTTTTGTACAATCACACATATCTATATACCAAAGTGTTTCTGACAATGAAACTATGAAATTATTTCCATTATTATCTGTGAGAGTTTGTATTGACCAACCACTCTTGTAACTCTGAATCCATTCGGCCATATCTAAGCATAATTGTTGTTTTTGGTTGGGGTTTGAATAGTTAAAAATAGAAACATATAGCTGTTTGTTTGTTGAAGATTTTATGATAATTTTAAATGCATTTTTATCATTATACGAGTTGCTAGATTGTAGTTCATTAGCACTAAGATGATAGTGGATATTTTTTCCAAGCTCATTTGTAAGTTCAATAATGCTGCAGTTAGGACTTGCTTGTAATGCATTTATCGGTTGGGTTATTGACTAGCTTATTTTGATACTCTTTATTGTTCAAAATCACCAACTTCGATTGATATGCTAGGTGATATTTTATCGATAATCATGTCGAAGAATTCTTTAAATAATATCTCATATGGAATTGAATGTATGTACTATTCATGTAATGTTTTATTTCTCTTTGAGATATGGATATTTGCAAAAAGTATTTTTTAGAACTGTTGCGATAAAATTTTTGTTGCAGCTTAAATTTATTTTAGTATTAAGTAAATCTCTATACAGGTAAAATCAGCTGAATTGAATATCACAAATCTTATCATTTTAATTGTTTATGCCTTTACTTTATGATACCAAGAAAAAGCCTATAATTAATAATTTTATGTATTTGGTAAGTTTTTTTTTTATAGAATTCAATCTTTATATTTTATTTATCATTATCTTTAAGATGAATAACAGGATTTTTATTGATTCTATTCATTCACAATAATAAATACACATGATAAGAAAATTTTTGATAAGGTTATGACTATAAATGCATTGTAATTCAAGAGGCAACTGCAGCAATAATATGTTAGAATGCATAAGTTCAAATTCTTTATTTTTTTTTATATTAATAATATGGCTTTTTATAGAGAATGAATACAGTCGATTACAACAAAAATTTAGAAGTAAATAAATAGTAATGAGAAATATATCTTTTTTCTACCAAATTTGCATTTGCATAATTTGATCTATTATTGATATCTCATATTCTAGTAAGTAATCAAATTTTGAACGATTCAAATAGTATAAAAATCATCAAGATTTGATCACTAGATTATGAGGTATCAATGATATATCAAATTATATAAATTTGATTGAGATACAAATTTGGTAGAAACAAGGCATATATTGGCAATTTATCATTTATACATGTTTGTACTAGTTTTATCTTTATGCGTTTAATACCTTTAAATGATATTATATACCGTATTCAATAGAGTAAGGCTAATAATAAATGTAAACCGATACTTTATATTAGCATCTTATATTTAGGGCTTTATTTATTTGAAGTTTTATAAAGTTTTTTATCTTTAGTTTTAGTAATTGTAAGAGGCGGTGGATTTAGACCCGACCGAATTTTTTATCAAGTAATTAATTTAGTCCAATTAGAGGTGGATGAGAAAATAACCAGCGGGACTTCATACAAGAAAAATTACCTGTATATTAGGGACCAGAAATTCAAGCTGCTGCTTTTTCCCAGCAAGCCCAAACAAAAATTACTCAAGCAGAAGACAATTTTAAAATAATAGCAACAAAAAGTAGTATATAGCTAGTTATATTAAAAAAAAAGGGCAAGTTTGAAATTATTAATTATGAGATATTACAAAAGTGACTTTATCAGGTTTTATATTATCTTATATACATTACTTTTGTGCGTTATTAGTTACCAGTATATGTGATTTTGTAATTTGTAATATTGTAATTCAAATAAGAATAAAATTTTTAATTTGAAATACAAGAAATGTTAGAAGTTTTGTTGAATCAATGTATTTGGGATCCATTGGTTCTAAAAATCGCTATTTTACATTTAAATATAATGAGAAATCAGGTTTTTAGATTTAACACACTGATATATATATCAAAAGAAAACTAGCTTTTTCTTGGCTATATAAAAATCTACCCGAATAGCTATAGTAATTAATGTTACAAATTGGGATCAATGATGCAATTGGATTAGTTGACCAAAAATCAACTCATCTATTGATTGATAATCGATTTTTAACTTGGAACATTAATAGTTATCCATTAATGTATCGAGTTTTAACTTAGAACATTAATAGTAATCTATTAGTATTAGGCCCGAGTCATGACTTTTTAAAATTAAAATTTAAATTTTAAAATTTAAAAAATTTTAAAAATTTTTAAATAAAAGTCCGGCCTTCCAGGTTATTTTTTTTATTATATGTTATAAGAACCAAAAAATTAACTTTATATAGCCTTAAAAAAATTTTTTAAAAAAAAAATTAAAATTTAGATCACTGGGTTATGAAAGGTTACTTGGTAATATGAAAACCAATAGTATAAGTTTGTATAGTCTAAGTACACATAATTTAAACGATTCAATGTAAATTATTTATTATATATATGAAGATTATTCTCATAAATGAATATTTAAAAATGCACTTTTACCCAATGATGTGTATTTATAAAAGATTGACATATTGGGTTTAGAAGATCTACTCTTATTTCGAAACAACGTATAGGTGGCATTATTTCACGCTTATACGGTAAGATAAAGAACATTATTGACTCAGATTTAAAATCAACTATTAATGTCTATAAACATTTACTATACTCTCAGTTTTATTTTAGATAATAAGAACATTTATCCACGAACATTTATTGTTTAGAATATGGGCTTAATATTGAATTCTTTTTTAATTCTTCCTTTCAACCTCAATTACTGTTCTAATTGATATAGAGTGGGTGGCACAGTGGCACGGGCATGCCCAAAACCAAAATGGTTATAAGGCATGCCACTTGTAAATAGCATATATAGCGATATATATAGAATTGAGCGAATCATATCAAATACTAATACATATATACATACGTATGTTAGATCTATATTCAGATATACTTTTTTTATTGAAGCACTAGAATCAGTAGATCGTAACTATGTTCAAACTTATTTTTTTTGATCAGGTCGACCACGAATTTATAACACTGAACACTTTAAATTATTTTATATAAAAGCAACATGCTTTTCTCTTCGAAGATTGCAAGGTAATAATAACAATTATATAAAGAAAAATTATTGCTAAATATTATTTTTATCTCAACTCTAAAGTTTAATAAATTTATAAAACTTTTTATACAAAATTTATAGCCATTAGAATGGCATATTTATACTAAATTCTCCTTAAGGAACAATTCCGATCTCTAGAAGCATTCTTAAAAATTATCACTATGACTATAAGACTATATAAACTATATCAGATATAATTTAATAAAAAAAACTTACATATAATTTTATCATATATTACTATAGAATTGGGAAAAAATATCATCAATTGACCAGTCTTCGTCAGTTCTAGTGGTAGGTCTTTGTGAATAAGTAGTTGAGTTATCTTCATCTGTTTTCTTGAGGTTTTGTTCAAACATTTTAATATCGAAAAATTTTTCTATTGCCAGTTCATTATTTATATCTATATTCACTGCTTCATCATTAATTTGTAGAAGCTCTTCATTTTCATTAAATTCCTCCTCAAAAAAGAGATCTTCATCCACATTTTCAATGTTATCCTTTGTAGAGTTTTGATCATTCGCCTTAGATTTTTTTTTTAGTACCTTAGGTAATCCTTGTTGAAGATCATGGTGGAGCATTCCAAGCATTCCCGTTATAGCAGGAGACATCCTGTTTCATAACTTGGTTTTACCAATTTCAAGCTAGAAAATAAACATTTGACAGCTGCAGTATGTAGAACAATTGCAAATATTTTTACAGCAAACTGTTGAAGAAGTGGAGAACCTCCAGTAAACCCAGTCCAGAAAACTCTAGGATTAGTATTTTTATGATTTTTTTGATTATCAAAAGGAGCATTACCATTCTTATAACTAATAAGTTCTTTATATAGAAGGGTCGTCTCTCTTTTATCGAAACCCCAATCTTTTGCCAATTCTAAAGTTGCACAAATAATTAAATCTTCAGATATTTTTTTTGAGATTGCAACTTGTTTATAACCCGGCGACAAAAAAAATGCAACAAAATAAATGATATCTGAAAATTCACGTACTCGTTTGTCAATTGTTAACAAGGTATGATTTTTTAACCCGTCTATTGGAAAATTTGTTGTAGAAGCAGTGTAATGAATATTAATTAATTCTTTAAATATATTACCTAATATTGCATCTCTTGATTCAAGACAACCAATAGCATCTATAACAGGAATGAGCACTTTTAATAATGTATCATTATTTGCAAAATGGTGACGATCAGTAACTATATCTCGAATTTCCATTCTAATAGTTGGATAATTGCTAGTTTCACTAAGCTCAATACACTTATAAAACCCTCTTTCAAAAGCTTTTACTCCAAGACAGACTTTCGCGAGAGAATACCATCTAGTTTCACAAAATGTGGTAAGTGAATAATGTATTCCCTCTTTTTTTTGCCATTTTTGTAATGTTCTGTTCCAGATATAAGACGATGTAAAAAAATTGACTAGCTTTTGATTATTCTTAATAACAGGTAGTAAAGGAGAAAAGGAAGAAATGTCTTTCGCAAGTAAATTGAAGGTGTGGAGGCAGCAACGAATAGGAATTATATTTGAATGTTCATTTTTTAAATCATTTCTCATCCGAACCATGATAGCAAGATTATCAGTTACGCATGCAATAATAGAGGAATTGATAGACATAGAGCACGAATGTAGAACTCTTTCAAGTTGTTTTTTAAGAAAAGTTGCTATATGTCTATTTGCAGATAAATCTACAATATCTAACACATGTTCTTGATCTTCTTTCAAAGCCATAAAACCATAAATTGAGTTTTTTGATACATCTTGCCATCCATCTAAGGCAATGATAATATCAATAAGAGATTCGATCATTTTGAGCTTTTTACTTAGATAGGATGAAAATGAATTGTTGAAAACTTCAGTATGCAACGTTCTAGTAGAGGGAGAGTTATAGTTTGGTGCCAATTCATCAAGAAAATCGAGAAAATAGGGATTTTCAACGATCTTAAATGGAAGATTGCCATAGATTATGGCATTAAGAAGTTTTTTGTTAATTCCTGCTTGCTTATCTTGTAAAATTGGTTTGATACACCAACTTGCTAAACTTTCTTGATGTTTTATTATAGAAGAAGAAGACGAGTTATCAGTGGCATCGGTGATGCTACAAGAATTTATTAGTGAGATGGATTTTTTTTTAAAAAAAAAATTGAGTTATAACTATATCAATTACTTACACAAGTGGCCTTTGATTAGAAGTTGAACTCTTGATTTTTTTGGGAGGATTGGAAGTAGAAGCAGTGATGTTTTTAATATAAGACTCTTTTTCTGTAACAGGCCAACTATCACACATAAGAACATGTGCATGAAGTTTTTCAGATCTGCCAGGTATTTCAATATTACAGTGAGAACATTTAGCAATATATCTATTGTCTGCTCCTTTATCTAGAGAACGCCAAAATCCTTTCCAATAGCGATTATGAGATTTCATGTCAAGACAGGTAAAACCAGGCGGGAATTGGGCAAACTCTGCATTATCAGATGTGAGTTCACCTGTTTCTGGACTGATGTATGATTGCATAGCACGACTCTTAAATATGGGTATTTATAGTAAATAAGATTTTTGGAGAGCAAATGATTTAAAAAGTTAAATAAAATTTTTATTTTATATTCTTATTATTTTATTATGAACTACTAACACTATTTCACGTTTATTAATAGATAGAATGAATCTTATCAAGTTAATTGTACCTGACAATTTATCTTTATTAATTGTTCAAAATTGCTTTTTTTATACTTTTCAGACATCTTTTTTTTACGAAGTTTATCATCTTTTATCTAATCACATTTACATTCATTTTGATTAATCTTTTTAATCATATTTTTTTTTTTTATTGATCTGAACTTATCTTTAATTTAAGGCTTTAACATCATTACGGGAGGTAATTTTATTTCCTTATTTGAGGTTACAAAGTGAAAATGAAGAATTTATGATTCGAATATTCACTTAGTAGAGTATTGGCTAATTTTAGTACAACTATCATTATTACTTCCATATCCCATAGTTTATAATTACATCATTTCTCATTCAAAAATAATTGATTTTGATTTTACCATGGGATCGGGGCTGATAAATTTGTACCTTGTTAATTCAGGTACCCGAAATCAAGAATTTTTCATTTTCACTTATTTTAGTTTTTTGAATGTAAAAACTGTGGTTCAAATTCTGCTAAGTCATAAATCGATTAAGGGATGGCTCTATTATCACATTACCATTGAGACCATGGCTTAAACTTTGGCTATAGCTTTCTTAATCAAGCCAAGCCAAGCATGAATATTTAAAGTAAATTTAATACCGGGGTTTTTGTTTTAAATTATAGTTGAAGGCTTTGATCAGTGCACGAAATATAGTTTACAAGTTCCTTAGATGGCTCAAAATAACTAGATTTTAATATTAAATTTTATTTTTGTAATAAATTATATTCGCTTGCTTTTAACTTTGTTATACTTTAATGCTTATATTACATACAGTATTGGGGTAGTAACTCAACTAAAACTATGTTAGCTACATTAATCATTTTATTATGATCAGATTTTTATCAGTATGATCGATTGATCAATTTATATATAATTGTTAATTATAAAGAAAAGCACAAAATTCTAAAGAATTCATACAAATAGTGTACTTATTTTTCTAATTTCTTTCGATCGGAAACGTTGTATTAGAACTATTTCAAAGTAACTATGTTTGATGTTTTGCGAAGTTCTCTATAAAATTTTAAATTATTGCTTAAAATAAATGAAAATTTTTGTTCTAATTAAAGAAATTTAAACCATTCTAGAAGACGAATACCCAAAACCTGCAAGTTAATAGAGAATTTTAAACATAGTTTTATTCTTAGATATTTCATAAATATGTGAAAGTATTTCGTGTTTTGATAATTAGTTGAATCATTTAAAATGTATCGCTCAAATTAGTATATAATATAAATCAAATTGATTTATTTGTGTAATGTGGAAAATCTGCAATTCGACATTCTATATATTTATAATTGGCCAATCAAAATTGGGTATTTTAATCATGTAATCATGTGGCATCCTGGTATGGTTATAGGCAAATGGCATGCCCAATGGCATGCCAAATTTTTTAGCCGTGCCACCCACCCTAAACTCAAGGTTTCGTCTAACAACTATAGTAGAGGCACGTGTACATAAACTCATATTTTGTTGAAAATGATTGGTGCTCTGCGTGTATTATAATTTTACTTTAAATATATAAAAATTTTTTGTGCATATTTTTGAAAGTTTGCGCAAATAAAAATTTTTTGAATTTATAAGATCGACAAATGGTTCACACCTCTATGTACGTACATACTGTACATGGCAGGGACACAGAAATTTTTCGAAAGAAATTTTTTTATAGCGAATATAGAAATACGATACTTTTAAAGCATCTTTGCTAGAAAAAAAAATTTAGAAGACCTATTATTTCAAATACTTAGGTATTAGCATCTCTTTTGTAAGTCGGGTTCTCAAGCACTTTCAAAAATATGGATGTTAGAAAAGTTTCTATCACTTCCTGATTGATATTTGTATAAATTACAATCTGAGATAGAATTATCCTTATAACAATTTAAAGGCCTATGAACCAACTTAATATTTTATATATGGGATCTTCTTTTAACATATATTTCAATTCATGCAATAATTTATGTTTATTAATTATTAATATGGAGACGCCCATAATTCACACTAAACTGGCATTGTTATAGGAATCTTAAAGATAATACAAAAATAATACTATATGAAATTATCTCTATTTTTATACAATACTGTACTGGTTTAATGTAAATTATGGATGTTCTCTATCAGTTACCCGATTTGTCATACAGATCACAAGGGTAAATTTTTTACTATGAAATTTGAGTGATCGACATGCATATGATAGGCTCAATTTTCATAGTAAATTGCAATAGTTGCTCACTTTCAATCATTTATTTCAAGGGTTTCTAAAAAGGAAACTGCACTTATGACATGCATTTTGACTGTTTAGAAAGTTCATTTCTTTATTTAAAATATGATACAAAATAAAGCCAAGAAGAATGTGGCCTTTAAAAAACACTTGTTGTTACATATTATATAATATGGTAATAACTCTAACAATTGCAGAATGTAAAGCTTTTTTGCTTTTTTTGCCAGTCCAACTTATTTTTATAGTCGTCTCCTATAACAGCCAAAAAAATAAAGTTTGTTGTTTTATTCTTTTTTTATTCTTATTTTTTTATTCCATTCTTATAACTAATAGCAAATTTTATGTTTGAGGCTTAGTACAAAGCGTTATAAGAAGTGTATTCAGTGTGATCAAGACGGATTTAGAAATGTGCGAATGCAAGTTTTTTGGCTTTAAATCACATAATGCAGTATTATTTCGTATGCATTATACAATTCTGTATAATATACTATAGCCCTCTCAAAAACTATATGTAGTAAACAGACTTTGTACTATTACTGAGAGGTTATTGGATTTGAAAATATAAAATATTAGATTTATATAGAGGAAACAGATTTGGAGCACATCTCTAGACAGATCGTGTTATATTTTTAGTCATACGTGCAAATGTATGCTTTATTTAAAAATTCTATGTATTTTATAATTTATTCTTGTAACTATTATTAGAAAAAAAAATTTTTAAATAGAATATTTTATTAAATATTTAAATTGTACAATTATATATTTTTAAAAATTAAATAAAGAGAATTTTCCAAAAAGATAATTGTGTTGCTATTTTAAGTATTTGTATACTTTTTTTATGTTATTTCTATAAAATATCATACAAATATTTCGGTTATAATGGCAATCTCGTGGAAATCTTAACAATCTTGGCTTTGATTTAATACTAAAAATATGGTCTAAGCATTGAATAATTTTGTAGCCAAATTGATTATAAAAAATGGTCTTAAACTCTCAAACTTCCATCAATTTGACAATTCTTCTATAATCTATTTTTAAAAAAAAAAAATATTAACAAAATTATAATATAGAATCCTTATATGAAGATTCTTCACTCGATTTCGAAAACGACTTTAATCAAGAATTTGATGTCAACATTGAACAAGTGGCATCAGACAAAGCTCTCGTTTTTGATTTGCATTCGTTGAAAATATTGCAAAAAAAACTAACTGGGTCAATTGAAAAATCTGAGGACGAACTATGTGAGAGTGATGAAGAAGTCTTTGAAGATAATAATGAGACAAAAATGTTTCAGGAAGAAATTGAAATACTAGTACCAATAAATTCTAGCAACACTACTGAAGTAACATATTGTCCTATTATCGACAATAATGATAAACCAGATGTAATTCAAAGGTGCAGCAGAACGGGCAATACCTATATGAATCAATTATTTGGCATATGGGAAATTGATTCTCTAGCTATAGAAAAAATTGGAGACAATACCTCAAAATTAAAAATTTGTTCGAATCATTTTAATTATGACTATAAAAATGTATACAGAAGTGGTATAAAAAAGGCATATCCATCTAATGAAAGTAATATAAACTTATATCGTTGTCTTTTTTGTAATAAATACAAATATTTCTTTATAAGAGATAAAGCATGCCCAGTGCATAGGTGGAAAATATGCGAATGTATAATCCAAGCTCCATGTCGTGGCATGTTTAACTGCCCAGCAATTAATGAATATAACGGTTTATCAAAAAAGTCACTTGATGATAATAAACCTTGATTCATTTGTACAAACTGCTTTGCAACTCATGGAGGTCATTTACAGACTCAGCCAGAAAAAATTTCGTGTGTGGAATGAGGACAACACAAAGACGATATAGCTTCTTCTTTAAAGCTTTTTGCTAAGTAGATTGAACAAGCTACTGAATCTGAAGATGAATTTACGAAGGTTAATCTATTAAAAAAACTTATTGAACTTTTCAATAGTGTTACCGATATACCTAAAATGCAAGATACCACTAGTGTATCTTCAACAGCCCCTCGATTCCAAGTTTTTTTTTAATAAAAACAGCATTTGCTATTAAAAAAATTAAAATTGATAAAGAACAATAACAACTATTAAAAGTTACTACATGCGAAGCACTCAGAAATATGCTTGCTACTTCTATTTTGCAAGAACAGCCCAAACTCAATAGGAAGCTATCATCGCTTAAAAATCCTGAATCATTTGAAGAATACTATGAAGCTATACCAGTATCTCTCATTAATTTTTTCACAGAATTAATTACTACAATAAAAGAGAAAAAATTAATGGCATTAGCTAGAAAAAGAAAAGCGAGAAATATGCCTTTGCCATAGCTAAATACAAAAAAAATTGATATAATTTCTATCTTTTTCGCTTTAGTAACACTTACCATTGCTTTTCTCCATTGGAAAATATAGTTTACTTATATTCTCTCTTCTCTTTGCCGATGACCAAACATGCTAGGAGTTTTATATAAAATTCTTTATTTGGTTCAAGTAGTATTGTATGTTAGAGATCATGAAGTACGTACACAAAAAAAAGAATGTTAGCTGCAGAACCTCGGTCAAGGCTTGATACAGGTTCAAATATTTTAAACATCGTAGCTATAGACAACATTGATACAAAAGATAAAACCTTTCAATATGGTAATATTTTTGATGCTATTCATGCTACTGCTCATGCGACAGTGCAGATAGTCTTTTAATTTTAGCATTCAGAATTTGACTTCTTAAATATAGAATTAATGGAAGATCATGATCTCTTTGGCATAAGTCCCTTTATAGAAAAATAGCAAACAAAAGTAAATACGATTTTTAA